CAGTTTGTTGGTTTATTACAACCAATTTTCATCCATAACATTTTCTCCTAGCAGTTTTGTTTTTCGAGTTATAATACCAATGGTTTCAAAAACGTCAATTTTTAGACACTTTGAGATGATTTGAGAAGAATTAATTATTTAATCGTTTATAGAATATGTTTTTCTGTATTATAGTCTCCCTTAAGACTGTGATATTACTTCAGTACGAAACTATCGATTAATAACTTCAAGTTGATTTCATCTTTAGCCCCTGTCTTGTGTACATACAAATAAGTGAAAGTGATTATTTATTGTAATTGATTGCGGTGAGCAAATAGCACCAAAGGAGGAAAAAAGCTTTTACATTACGTCAATAACACTATTACACCTTAACTATAACAATAAAGTACAATAAAGTGTAATTTCAAAGATTTAAAGAGGTCTGAGAAGTTGGGGGTTTCAGACATATAGAAAGTGAAACGTTCAGATAAAATGTTAAGTTTCCGAACTCTCGTATAGTAAAAACTTCACTAAGTATTCGTGTATTTTCGGCTGTTTTATGTAGGAACAAGCAAGGGTGGCGATCCTATAGACGGACACGATCTCGAACGAGTTTTACAAGTCGTGAGTTACAAGTGTTACAATTCCTAAGTCGTTTCGAAACCTTTTTCCATACGTAACTAATTTAATTCGGAGCTCGGAGCTTTTTTTGTTAGATACTTTGCAATCTTGAGTAATGCTTGAAACTGTTTCGAATACCACTTTAAACCAAACCACAACTTTAATCAACCAAATTTACAATTTTATATTGCAATGCATCTAATCACGAAGGAATTTATTTTGTTGAAGTAAATGCTCTGTTAACAAAATCTGCCCAAATCAAGAACGGTCCACACCTCAACCTTAGTGGTAAAGAACAGAGAGATAGTTTTTATGAAGAATTATAAAACACTCTACAACGACAATACGTCAAAGTATGACGAAATTATGATGGGTAATTTCAGTGCGAAGGTTTATGAAAATATAGTGATGGACATAATCATTTACAAAAGTAGTACACAACTTGTACAAATGTGAAAAATGAAATCCGTATAAACAATACTTTCTATTCCCATAAACTACACACAAGTACCTACACATTTGAAAATACCATGATAGACATTATAATAAAAAACAGAAGCATCCACCTTTCAACAGTAGTCGATGTAAGAGTTTGTAATTAATGATAAAAGGAGAATGAAATGAGCGGATTAAAATCGTTCGATTAAAATAAAAAATAAACATAGAGTACAAGACGACAGTACAAAACAACTCTACCAACAAAGAATAGTACAGAAATTATCTGAAAATGCAATAAGCAATCGATATGACGTTGAAGATGAAACTTAAAACAGTGGTTTACACTGGAGGTGAAGACCCTAGCAGCCGAGAAAAGAGAAATGGAGAATCATGACAATCACATACAATCAATATAAAAATGTGTGAAATACGGTAACTCAAGACGACAAGACACTGTATTTATATTATAGGTGTGAATTTTTTCAAAAGAAAATACCACTATTTGAGACGATGAAAGAATTTTATTTTAATTTTAGATCGGTGCTACGCTCGTTTCAACCAATAAGTTGGTCTTTTTCAGGCACGTCCTCTTAGGATGCAGCAAATGGAGGGTTTGATAGAAATAAACTTAACATTGTAATTAAACAATATGGATAACACGATCTTTCGAACTCTGTTTAAGGTGTATTTAGTCGCACATCGACCACATTACAGTAAAGTCGATTTTCAACATAGATTTCAAAAACATGTCTAAGTAAGTTAAACTCGGTCGTCATCTTGCAAAGTACTAATTTGGACTGTTTTTTGGGTAACTTTATTTATGTTTCTTTTGTGTTTGTCTTGGTTTTTAGTATCGGTTTAATGCCTGGTGGAATAAAAAACCACTTTACCGATATAAAGAATTTGACCTATATTTAAATTTTAACAATATTTTGTACGCCCAATGGTTTTCTTTTGTACTTTGTTCAAATTGATTACATCTTGTAAGTAAATAGACCTTAAACAGAGTTCGAAAGATCGTGTTATCCATATTGCTTAATTACGATGTTAAGTTTATTTCTATCAAAGCTTCCACTTGCTGCATCCTAAGACGATGTGCCTGGAGAAGACCAACTTATTGGTTGAAACGAGCGTAACACCTATTTAAAATTAAAACAAAATTCTTTCATCGTTTCAAATAGTGGTATTTTCTTTTGAAAAAATTCACACCTATAATCAAATGTACACGATGAATATTGAGTTGAATTATAGTCCGCCAAATCACAGAAATATCGATTGAATTCAACAAAGCAGGTTTTATGTGCTTCATAGATCTCACCCAAACATTCGACAAGGTGAGATTACATCAATTAGTCTCACTACTACAACAATTCAAGAAGGGAAATGTAGACGGACACATTCTAACGATTATCAAACAATTAAACAGCACCTATACTAATAAAGCCTGGTATAAGGCAGAGTGACAGCCTCAGTCCTATATTATTCAACTTCATCATGGACAAAGCAAATCAAAGTAATCTCCTATGCTGATAACGCCCTCTTAATATCCAAAGACGAACACAATTTACATTATACACAATTTTTATTATAAACATTCGAAACAAGTACAAAAACATTCAGCATGATTATTTCAACTCAAAAACAATTCAGTGTGTCTCAAAATACAGTGTCTAGAGAACCAATAAGATTCCAACAAGCAATATACAATCAAAGTGTGTAATCAGTAAGCATTCTCAAATATCTAGGAGCCTGCATATCCAACAGCAATAATATCAAGGTATCTACGTAACATGATATGGAGAAACAAAGATATGAGCATGAAAAGTAAGGTCGGAACATAAAACATGTATAAGACGTATCAATCCCACCACAAAAAAGCTCTTAAGGACTACTGAAATGAGAACGCTAAGAGCCATCATCTGCTACATTTTAAGAGACAGATTTTGTTAAACGAGGTTAAAAGGAAAAAGGATGATGAAGTTCGGTAACCGTGTAATTTCGAGAAATGATCCACCTCATTCATGTGATTTAATGCCGTTCGATTTCCCTGTTTGGGGATACATTAAGTCATTAGTTTATACCAACAAATTAACAAAGTTACAGGCGCTCAAAGGTAATATCGAATGCAACATTGCCTACTTTCTGGCCAATATATCTGATTGAGTGGTGCAAAATTGGGACCAAAGAATCGTTCGCTGCACAAGCATGTTTGTGATGATTATATAAATGATATCGAAATCGATAGTTAAATGACTAACTGATGACTGACAAAACGTGTGATTCACCTGGAAAAATTTCAGCCCAATTTCTCAATAATTCTGTGTTTTATTTAACCCTTTGTTAGCGCTACGAGAAAGGCGATGGAGCTATAAGAGAGGACATTATAGGAAAAGAAAAACAAAAAAAATATCAGTGCCATTCGTTCAGTATATGGCCAATAAACGTTCATTATTCATTCATAAATTTGATTTAAAACTATTCGCTTTTGTAGATACAAAAACCTATTACTGCTGAAATAATACGTTGAACGTTTGATTGACAGATACAGATCTATATCTGAAACAAAATGTAACATTACATATTAGTTATCCCTTTGCATTCGTCAACCCGTCTCGCCAGCGTGACCAATTATCGGCAAAAATCCTCCTTTTCATATAAGGCCATGAGGTTTACGGGTATAGCTTGTGTCCAACAGTTGACAAACATGTAAATAGATGTAAAGCTGCTTGATGATGATGAATTATCTTCTCATGATCAACCTACTTAAAAATAGTCAAATCACGTCGGTTGGAATAATCAGGAAGAATAAGCGGTAAATACGAAACTCAACGAAGTCATTCTATCATGATAATGATAATGCAGTTGAAGAATCCAATGACAAAAAATTGCCTGACATTATCAATTTTTATAGTTTAATAAAGGACCGCGTTAATAGTTTCGACAAATTATCTGCTAATTATAGCTTAGCAAGAAACAGCCGTCGTTGGCCTTTAGCCAGAGATTAATTTTGTTTCTTAACTATAAACGGCGTATGTTTCTGAAAGAACTTGGTGTGCAGTTGATATCGGAATTCCGAAATCAGCAAATACAAAATCGACAACGCGAGATTCAGATGACAAAAAGTCATGTACCTGGGTCTAACAATAAGTGAGGCAAAAAAATAGTAGATATTTTATTTCTCTAAGAAATAAGGACAGGAAGACATTTTATGTCAGTTAAATTCTATATTTAATCAACGTTTTGGATGATATCGTTTAACTCTTTACTTCTCAAGTGTTTGTTATTATTGTGTTATAAATGACTTGTTAAATTTGCTTTTTGTAGCAATATTTCATGAAATGGACTACTGGTTGTAGTATATTTTGCAATTTTGGTAATACGTTAGCCTCAATATACGTTGTTCGATTCAACACGAAAATTCTCAAGAGAAATCAAATATAGTTTATCAAAAAGTATCAAAATCTATATCGACTATTTTGATCGAATAATTTTATCCTTAACTTTTTGAATGTTTCGTGATAATAAAATGGATATAAAAATAATTCCGATTTACTATAGACCCTTATTTTTAATTGTACATATAAATTAAATTTATTATTAATGTTGTAAATTCGTAAATTTTATCGTTGAAAGCTCATTCGTTTAAAATCTCCCCATCAGCGTAACATCGAAGCCATGTCGTCGATGGTTGTAAATCCAAAGTGTCGTCCGTTTCACCCCGCTTTGTAAAACGGGGTCGCAATAAAAGTAAAAATTAACGAGCCGCTCTCGTACGCTCATATTCGCCCCACTTTCGACGTGATTTCAACGTCGAACCGATTTTGACGGCCGTAATTGCGGCGCGACGACTCTGTAATTTATCGGAGTAACACAGGTAACGCGTTTGGATAACGCGCAAAACTGTGATCATGAAAGAGTAAATACGGGGGAGAGCTTTGGAAATTTTCGATTTATACACTCACCATTCCATCGCCAATGTTGTTTACAACACACGGTACCAAGGCTGTGGATCCGGTTTGTGCTGTAACCACTGTACAGTTTTCTGTTGCAAAATGTACCGGTGGATTTTCTAAAGTTGGAAACGAAGCTGCTAGTTCATTTAAATCGTCTACTGTGTCACCTTCTGTATCTGAAACAATCAATTTTTAAAATTTTAATACGTTTCTATTAAAAGGTCGATTCAATATTACAAGACATAATTTTACTTTTCAACTTTTCAGGAAGAATTTTACCTGACAGCGTGCAAATAGCACTTGTACACACGACGTTCCAAATATCTTTTGGCTCGGTGCCTGCACGTAGAAACAGATTCTTATTATCAACTGTTTGTTCTGAACGTGCACCATTTCGTATACATACTCCACATTTTTCCAGACTTTGCGCATTCCGACCTTTTCGTTTTATTTTTATTGAGTCAACCTTTACATTTCTTAAAACAATTTAACCGTCAAGAAAAGACGTCGACTTATAAAATAAAAATCTTTTTTGAAAATTTACACCAACTGAATACTTTAAACGTATGTTAAATTTAATACGAAATCGATTCCGACGGGTTTAGTATGAGGAGGAAAGGGCGAATGTGAATATGTGGGGGTTGAGTTAAATTGCTCGGTATAACAGGCAGTATTCCACGTGAACTAGGCTGAATACGGCGAGAAATATGCCCGCTATTCGAAGTTATTCTGCTCAAAATGAAAACAACAAGTTTAACGGTATTGCTACGTAAGGGTGCAATATTTACCCTTGAAGTGACGATGCGATTTGGAAACCTGATTAGGTCGAGTACTCAAATAGTTTTCCACTTTCCACATCTGCTACATTCTCAGCATAAAAGTTTTCAACTACTATCTTATATTGCTTTATATTAGTTTGTTTATTACTTTAACAGTTATTAGTTTTTAAAGTTTTGAAGATTGATGTTGAAATGTTTTAAATAATACCTTTGGGATGAATATCTTCAATCGAGCTAGAAGGGGTATCCCAATAGAGATATACCTCAATCGAGTTAAACTTGGACAGGCGGTCTAATTTATATTTGCGATTCTGCGAGAATGCTAGCTCGAGCGGTTATAGATTTTCACGACGTGTTCCTGCGGGTATACGTACGGATGGTAACGCAGGAAATTTACTGGCTTCCGATTGTGCGATTGCCCACTTCTGGTTGGTGTGAGCCGGAAACCGCTGCTGACAATTTACCGGATACAAGCGCTATAGTTCGCCTGCGGGATAATATTAAATAAGCTAGGGGATTTGTCTCTTTGATGTCGACAATACCGAGAAAATCTATAAGGAAAAATATCCCCCAAAGCCGATTTCGAGAAAGGTGTTTTTCCGTGACCCGGTTCGGCCGGGAAATTTTATTTGTTCCTCTCACGAAATCGGCAACACCTGATATTTCGCTCAGCTTGAAAACAAGCGAACTGTAAATTTTAATATCCCACTTTTTCCCGGGAACATAAAATATTTTACGACCCTCTGACTTTTCCATATGGAAAAGGCAAGTGCATTGCATATATGATTTTAGTCCATTTCTGATAGGCTACTTCAACGTTTATATATCCTCAAAATACGATTTTCAATATCGTTTTATTGAACACAAATGTGAAGTGGTCTCTATACCCGTTTGATGGCATATTAATAAAATGTCTTTGTATAAATTCATTATTTTTATGTCTATTTAATTCCCCGTTTTGTTATACGTTTTATTGTTTTTCATAAAAATAAAGTAAATAAGATACATAATTTTAGTATAAAATTAATATGTAGTAAAATTAGTTTTATTCGCGAAGCTTACAGGACTCTGTTTTAGCAATAATTGAAGCTGCGTGACTGCAAGAAGATGTTCGTTGAATATATTGAAAACGAAATTGCTTCTGACGTACAACGACGAAGCTTAATTTTACTGCAAGAGCAAAACCAATAAGCGAAATTTTAGCATGAGGAGCGAAATTTAGAAGTAATTATTGACGGTATTGCGTGTGCTTTATAGTTTGGTAATACACATTTCATTAAAAATGATGTTCATAACGGTTCAGTCGATGAAGATATTGTAAATTAATTAAGATAGAATAATTAACGATAGCATCATTATGAATCCTGTAATTTCCACGTTACTGACTAAATTATTATGAACAGCTCGTGTTACAGGTATGAACTGTAATACGAGCTGTTCCCAAGATGTAATAGACTTTTTGTGAAAAGAACATAATCGACTAACAGCAAAAGATTTCAGGAGGGTTTTGTAGGCCCAGTTTTAGTATCTACTTCCAAAAGGGCTAAGGAATCTGGACCACAAAGTTTGTACCAGGGAGTGTGCCATTAAATTCTGTTGTACACCAGTCTAAGCGTGGATCAAGAAGAAGATGCAGTTTATGTAGTACCAATGCAGAGCCATTGTCAGATAACACTTTGAAGACTAGGGAAACTAAAATCCTGCTACAACTACAAGAATGTACAGAATACGAGTATATCCAAAATAAATTCCAAAATCAATATAGGATGTTTTATTTTTATGCAAATGAAGATGTGGCACAAAAAGTCGACCTCGAAGTTTTTAAAAAACTGTGTATGCTTATGAGTTCTACCTATATATAACCTAAAAAACAAATTGTGCAAACTTTGCTCCAGTTGAGTAAAATTTTACGTCAAATACTTGCTCCAGTAAGTGTTAAATGAAGAAAGTACTCGTTATTAAAAGCTATTCCACCATGAGTTTCTTTGTGACAGAGTCGCCAGAGGTCGGCTAAAACACGAAATTTTCGGAAAGATTTGCCTGACACCTACTGATATAAAGGAACAAGACCTAGGAACTATGGTAAGGTTCATCAAGAACCTAGATTTGCGCTAAACTGTTGGAGGGCGTAAGAAAGGAGCCGCTTCCCTCAGCCTAGCAGCAACAAGAAAAACCCAAACTAAAAAAATAAAATACTTATTGGACCTATTAATGCACGAACATTGAGAGAATAGAATAGAATGATAGAATTGGCGCATGCTATTTCTAAAATTAAATAGGATATAATAGGAATATCAGAAATTAGAAGAAGCTACAAGAGTATTATGAAAATAATTAAAACAATTAGTATGTATACTAAAAACTGGAACTCACACTTAGACAAAGTGAGGAAAAAGGCCGTCATGGCTAACCAGATCTGCCGCAGGCTTCTAGGAAGGAACTGGGGTCTCAAACCACGAATGGCTCATTGGGCCTACGTAGCAATAATCAGACCTATGCCTAGGCCAAAAACAAAACATAACACAGCACAACAACAGCTGGCACAAATTTAGCGGTTAGCATGTCTTAATATAACGGGTGCAATGAGATTTTGTCCGACGGCTGCTCTTGGGAGAAAGGAGGCAGCTTTAAGTGCCTTAACACTGAAAACAGGCTCTTCATTCAAGCTAATGCAGGGTAACCTCAGAGGACACCTCGAAATCCTCAAGGACCCATGTCTAAATCACTTCATTGAAATTAAAACAGACCTTATACCGACAGAGTACAATTTCGACCAGCCGTATAAGGTCATATTTAGAAATAGGGATGATTAGACAAAGGGTGGGCCTCAACTAAAAAGAGATGCCATTACCTGGTACACCTATGCTTCAAAAAAAGTTGGATCCGGAGTAGACATGGGCATTAATGGATCAAATAACCGCATTAAATTGTAATAATAACCATTTTTCAAGCAGAAGTTCTGACTATAAACTTCTGCACCGCTTTGAACCTACAGAAGGGGCTAGGGGCAATGATGTTACTCTATGCTGGGTTCCAGGTCACAGAAACATTAAGGGCAATGAAAAGGCGGACAAAGAGCCAGCAAAAATGCCCTTTATTAGGCCCCAACCCAGTTGTGGACTACAAAAAAGCTACCTAAAGCAAGTAATCAATAGTTGGGAGGCCTCAAAGGTAGCTTTACGCTGAAAAGAACTTCCAGGTCACAGACAAGCCGTCGGAGTCTGACAAAAATCGTCAGAGGCCGCCGAAGACACAAACATTTCGGTAAAGCTCTTTTGACACCTACATAAAGGAACAAGACCTTGGAGCAATACTAAGGTTCATTAAGGACCTACGTTTGCCCTAAACTTTTAGAGGGGATTATAAGCGGGGATTACCATATTAAGAGTGCAATCAGAATTATGATTGAGCTTTCTCTAAAGTTACACTCAGAATATGTACCATACTTTTAGTAAAGTATTTGGAGAATTTATGAATCTTTTCTTAAACAGTCACATTGCTCTCAGAATTTACAAGCAGTAAAAGCAGTGTTGCTCTCAAGTTAGCCGCAAGAGGANACGAATGGCTCATTGGGCCTACGTAGCAATAATCAGACCTATGCCTAGGCCAAAAACAAAACATAACACAGCACAACAACAGCTGGCACAAATTTTGCGGTTAGCATGTCTTAATATAACGGGTGCAATGAGATTTTGTCCGACGGCTGCTCTTGGGAGAAAGGAGGCAGCTTTAAATGCCTTAACACTGAAAACAGGCTCGTCATTCAAGCTAATGCAGGGTAACCTCAGAGGACACCTCGAAATCCTCAAGGACCCATGTCTAAATCAGTTCATTGAAATTAAAACGGACCTTATACCGACAGAATACAATTTCGACCATCTGTATAAGGTCATATTTAGAAATAGAGATGATTAGACGAAGGGTGGGCCTCAACTAAAAAGAGATGCCATTACCTGGTACACCTATGCTTCAAAGAAAGTTGGATCCGGAGTAGACATAATAAAAAGTTACCTAAAACAAGTAATCAATAGTTGGGAGGCCTCAAAGGTAGCTTTACGCTGAAAAGAACTTCTAGGTCACAGACAAGCGAAGAGTATGATAACTCTGTCGCAAAACAAAACCAAAGAGGTTTTATGCCTCAACAAAGAAGATCTAAAGACGCTCTCGGTTTCCTGACCAGCCCTGTGCCCCTAAAATACCACCTCTTCCACATTGGACAAGCTGAGGATCAAACTTGTCGACTTTGCAACGACGAGTGAGAAATGGCTGAACATATACTGTGTAATTGCATCGTCAGAGGCCGCCTAAGATACAAAAATTTCGGTAAAGCTCTTTTGACACCTACATAAAGGAACAAGACCTTGGAGCAATACTAAGGTTCATTAAGGGCATACGTT